TCTGTTCCGGTTTCAGGACAAGTCTGTTCTTGTCTTGGGACAGGTCTGTTTTTTTCTCGGGACAGGTCCGTTCCTGTCTTGGGACAGGTCCGTTCCTGTCTCGGGACTGGTCCGTTCCTGTCTCGGGACTGGTCCGTTCTTGTCTCGGGACAGGTCTGTTCCTGTCTCGGGACAGGTCTGTTCTTTTCTTGGGACAGGTCTGTTCCTGTCTCGGGACTGGTCTGTTCGAGTCTCGGGACTGGTCCGTTCCGGTCTCGGGACTGGTCCGTTCCTGTCTCAGGACTGGTCCGTTCCGGTCTCGGGACTGGTCCGTTCCGGTCTCGGGACTGGTCCGTTCCGGTCTCGGGACTGGTCTGTTCCTGTCCACGTGAGCAGCTGGTTTTGGTTGTCAGCATCAAACTGTTTGATCCACTCTGAGAAGGTGCTATTTAAGAGACTGAGCTGAAAACAGCACCTCAGACTGAGGAAGTCCTCAGGATGAGAGACGAAACGTTTCTATAAATGTCCAGAGGACCAGACTTAATAACTTTGTAGTTAAAACAATTGAAGGTGGTCAGCCCAGCCAGCTAAACCTGAAGAACACAAAACAATAGTTCAGTCGGTTTTTAGAGACCGTGCTAGATTTGATTCTGTTTAGAGCGTGGGTTGTCAAGGTTTTGACAAAAACAACTATAACTCATAAAATCATTTCTCAACACAAGATCATCTTAAACTGGCATGAAAGAGCAGATGTGCATTTACTTTTAGCATTCCTTTTAGTGAAACGTGTTCTCTTATTTGTTCTAGTGCAAAACTTCAGGCAACTCCATTTCTAATTCTGAACGAGCCAAATGAGTTCATGGTTCCCGTCATAATTTCTTAGAAGGTGGAAGTCAAGTCATCTTTATTTATGGAGCACGTTTCAAACAGAACCTGTTGTCAAAGTGCTAAACAACAACAGAAAGTGTTGTAAACACAGTGAGCCGCTAGCTTAAAGCCGTTCTAACGTGACAAGTGTGTCCAGAGAACGTCCTCTGTGAGGTTTTTTTATTTAGTTGAAAAAGTAAAAGTGTTTTAGGTATTTTGTGGACGGGTCAGACAGCCAGGGGAAAGCCAAAGGGCTGATCCAGCTGCCCTGCAGAGGGGGACTACAAGTCAAATAACACTACAAACATGGCAAAGCACCTGAAACACCAACACTTTCAGATTTATGAATAATAATAAAATCGTCAGTAAAACCCACATTTCTCCAACTATGAAATGATAAGGGGCGGCACAGTGGTGCAGTTGGTGGGTGCGAGCAGGTCGCCCCCGTTAAAACCCAGCCAGGACCTCTCTGGGTGGAGACTGCATGTTCTCTCCGTGCTGCGTGGGTTTCCTCCAGGTGCTCCGGTTTCCTCCCACAGACCAAAAACATGCATGTTGGGCTGCCTTAGCCGTCCGGTCTGCGTTTTACTAACTGCAGTTTTTGTGTTTTCAGGTAAGGCTAAGTTCATCGGTGAACTCCTGGTCCCTGTTGCTCCATTCGACCAGAAGTCTGGGCGTGAGGCCTGGACTGTAGCCTTTGCACCCAATGGTTCCTACTTTGCCTGGTCTCAGGGGCACCGCATCGTCAGACTCGTTCCGTGGACTAAATGTCTGACGAGCTTGTAAGTTTCATCTGAAATGAGTTTGTTACAGCCGATGATGTCATGCAGAGCGTTGTTCCCAGCATTTAACATTTTAAATGTTTTGTTGATCACTAAGTTTCAACTCTTACAAAGAAATATTTATGTACAAGGTCTGTTTTTTTTTTTGTTTTTTTTATGCAAACGCGTACAGATGTTCGGTCAGAATTCTTGGTCATACTGTAAATATATATATAATATATAAAATGTAAAAAAGCTCTGCAGTGTTCTGATTAGTTGAGTGTGAGTATATCCTTTCTGATTAAGACAGTTTTTAGTGGCCCAGGTGAAGCAGAACATTAGCTCCTGCAGCTTCCTGCAGCATGTCTCCAGCTAAACTCGTTCTCTTCTCAAGGTCTGACATACGCCCGTCTGATAACAAATTGTGCTGGGCGATTAATCGTCTCAGAAATTATTGCGATAAATTATAATATTGTTTGAAATTTGACAATAATTAAAGTCAAATTTAAGAAGAAATATTGGTTAATTTTCGTTTGGTATCTTTTTTGACCACTGGATGGCAGTATAAGACTGAACTGAAGGATGGATAGTGAGGGAGCGAGCAGCGTGTCTCTGTAAGAAAAATGGGAGGGAGGCCCCTTGACGTGACATGGGCTGTCTCTCCTTACTTTTTTTAGTTCTCAAAATGTCGGACGCTCGATGTGATTTGAGCTCTTTAGTATTTTTCACACAAAGCTTTTAAAAAAAAATCAGTAAATAAGTTCTCAGCTTCTTGTTGCAGAGAAAAACA